TCTACCACTGAGCCATCTTCCCAGCCCCCAATATATGAACTTTTGAGGGGCACATACAAATCACAGAATTGCAGAACATGTGTTCTGTATTTGACATCTGTAATGCTTATACTTTTTCTAATAAATTATATCCTATCTGCATAGTAGTTCCTCCTCAAGAAACTGAATTTTACTAATTCACAAGGCTGAGACTACACTCCCAACCTGATCTTGAATGAATCTTACTGAGCCCAGCAGAGGATACTGGGAGTTTAGAACTGGGAATCACAAGCAGCCAGCTGAACTTTTAAATACATGGAACTGTAGTATGCACGTTATGGTGATTATATAAATGAAAAAACCTACAGGAAAAAGGTGAATACTTTCAGATTCTTGATGCCGTTCCTGTGTCTCTGTGTCTATATCCCTATAATTTTCTTTGGCCTCAATTTTTTTGGGGGGAGTCGGTCATGGGGCTTGAACTCCGGGCCTGGGCACTGTCCTTCAGCTCTTCAATTCAAGGCCAGTGCTCTACCACTTGAGCCACAGGGCCACTTCCAGTTTTCTGGTGGTTTACTGGAGATGAGAGTCTCATGGACTTTCCTGCCCTGGCTGGCTTTGAACCATTATTCTCAGATCTCAGCCTCCTTAGCAGCTAGGATTACAGGCATGAGCCACCATTGCCTGGCTCAATTTTGTTTTGTTTTAAGAGGAATATTTCTGTACAAACTTGGACTCGGTGCTCAAGGAATCTTCCTGAATATATGGAACTACAGACTTACACCACCACAGTGCCCAATTAAAATATCTACTTTTGGGCTGGGAAGGTAGCTCAGTGGTAGAGTCCTTGCCTTGAGTGCATGAAGCCCTGGGTTTGATTCCTCAGTACCACATAAACAAAAAAAAGCCAGAAATGGAGCTGTGGCTCAAGTGGTAGAGTGCTAGCCTTGAGCAAAATAAGCTCAGGGACAGTGCCCAGGCCCAGAGTTCAAGTCCTAAGACTGGCAAAAAAATAAAAAATAAATTATCTACTCTTTATTTAAGTTAGTTGAATTTTTTGTCGCCAAAAGGCATTAATAATTGATAAATTATCTCTAAAAGTATAAAAGAAAATACCCTTACAGAAAAAGAAAAACAGAATACCAAAAAATTCAAATGACTTCATACTGTACTTTCAGGTGACAGTAAGAATTAAGTCTCCCAATCTTTTTTTGGGGGGGAGTAAGGGGGGTTCCGGTTGTGGACCTGAACTCTGGGCCTGGGCGCTGTCCCTCAGCTCTTCAGCTCAAGGCTAGTGCTCTACTGCTTGAGCCACAGCGCCACTTCCGGCTTTATTTTTCTGCTTATGTGATACTGAGGAATTGAACCCAGGGCCTCATGCATGTAAGGCAAGTGCTCTTCCACTGAGCCACCTTCCCAGCCCTAAGTCTTCTAGTCCTACATGTGTTAAGAGCATTAAGTAACATTACCTTTGTTTCTTCTGTCCTCACTGCATCCAGCAAATAATGAAGAAGCTCCTGACTATCCTGCTGTTGGAAACCTTTAAATCGAGGTGCCCTGTCATAAAAAACAAACCAGGAAAGTAAACAATAATCAACTCTCACTCAGTTATTCTTATTCAAAATCACTGTAAAATAAGTCAATGATTGCATTTATTTCCTTCTCAACCTAATAGAAAGATGTGATTCTTAGATCTTAAGTTTGCACTGGGAACAAAACAGCTACCAGTTATTAAGCAATGACTCTATGTCAAGTAAAGAACACGTAGTTGCACATAGTTTAAGTCATCTAATGCCAAACAATTTTACTGAGATGTACTATCTTCTGTAGCTTATACTTGAGGACTCAGAAGGGTTATTTAAATAATTTGCAGTCATATAGTTAGCAAAAAAACTTAAACAAAGGGGCTGGGAAGGTGATTCAGTGGTAGTGCGCTTGCCTTGCATGCATGAGGCCCTGGGTTCCATTCCTTAGCACCACATAAGCAAAAAAAAAAAAAATGCTGGAAGTAGCACTGTGGCTCAAGTGGTAGAGTGCTAGCCTTGAGCTGAAGAGCTGAGGGACCGCACCCAGGCCCAGAGGTCAGGCCCCAGGACTGAACCAAAAAAAAAACAAAAAACAAAAAACTTAAACAACAATAACAAAAAAAATACTCAAATCCAAGCCACTGTGGGTTTGATAAGGCTACATTTATCATCTTTTTTTATTTTTTGGTATGGGGTTTGAACTCAGGGCCCAATGCTGTTCCTCAGCTTTTTCACTGGAGGCTGGCGCTCTACCTCAGGAGCCACAGCAACACTTCTGCTTTTTAGTAGTTAATTGAAGATAAGAATCTCAGGAATTTTCTTGACAGAACTGGCTTTGACTCTTGCTTGGGCTGACCTTCAGATATTACCATCTAGAGTAGCTAGGATTATAGGCATGAGCCACTGCCCTCAGCTTTATCTTTCTGCCTTGAAAAATAAAAAGTGGGGACTAAGAATGTGGCTTAGTGGTAGAGTGCTTGCTCAGCATGCATATCATGCTCCAGTACTGGCAAAAATAAAAAATAAGGTCAACTCAGGCATAACAATTTACCGAGACTCCATTCAAAATGTATTTCTTGGGCTGGGAAGGTGGCTCAGTGGTAGAGTGCTTGCCTCATATGCATGAGGCCCTGAGTTTAATTCCTCAGCACCACATACACAAAAAAAGCCAGAAGTGGTGCCATGGCTCAAGTGGTAGAGCACTAGCCTTGAACTGATGAGCTAAAGGACAGTGCCTACATCTAGAGTTCAAGCCCCATGACAAAAAAAAAAAAGCTTGTCGGTCTAGGGGCTTGAACTCTGGGCCTGGGCGCTGTCCCTCAGCTCATCAGTTCAAGGCTAGTGCTCTACCACTTGAGCCACAGTACCACTTCTAGTTTTCTGGTGGTTTAGCAGAGGTAAGAATCTTACGGACTTTCCTGCCTAGGCTGGCTGTGAACCGTGATCCTCAGATCATGTGAGTAGCTAGGATTACAGGCTTGAGCCATATTTCATTTTAAATGCACAACATTAAGGAAATCCTAATAAACATGAATTACATTTATACTTGAAAAAAATGAATTTTGTGTAGCGACTTGGATCCTCTTCAAGAGATCTCATATGTAAGATATATGCAAAAATAATCTGAAAAACATTAAAAATTAAAAATCATGCCTGTTTTGGTATGTGTTAATGTCTAGACACATGAGGATTTTGCTTAAAGCATACAGTAGTACCTTAAAACTATTTGCCTCAAAGCTCATCTTTAAAAATAAGGAAGTAGAGGGCTGAGAATGTGACCCAGTGGCATTGTGCTTGCTCCGTAGGCACAGACCCTGGGTTAGATACTCAGCACCAAAAACCAAATAAAATAATTTCAAAAAAGGAATCTAGATCACCTTATATCTTTATACTTTTTTGTGCAGTTTACAATTCTTTAATTTTCTTCCTTTTGTTTTTGGTGGTCACAGGGGCTGAACTCTGGGCCTGGGCTCTATCCCTCAGCTCTTCATCTCAAGGCTAGGATCCTACCACTTAAGCCACAGGGTCTCATGCATGTGGGGCAAGCACTCTACCACTGAACCAACTTCCCAGCCCCTAATTTTCTTCCTTTACAGTACTACATCAGAGACTTGAGTTAAAACAGACTTCTATATGATTCTCAGCTCTACCATTAAAGTACTTGTTGAGCTATTTCATCTCTGTGAGCTCTCAAATCCTTATTACAGGAATGATCATTTCTTAAGGATTATGATGACATAATCTGCATGAAGCACACACTTTCCTTCTATAGTCTGGGCTGTAACAACAATGTAAAAGTAGGACTAAAAAACATCTCAAGTTAAGTGATGAATACATTCATCTTTTGTAATGTGATTATTTGTGTTCAGACTACAGATGCACTCACTTCTGACAAAGCTGGTTAAAAAGAACTTTAGGAGAAAGTGGTCCTTTTTCTGACTCCTTCATGCTGTGAAGAAACAGGAACAAGGCTGAGGTCAGTGGTCCAGGGCTCGCAAGTTCCACCACTAAGGGGTCCTTTAAAAACATAATCAACTTTATATCAGGAATATAAAACTTCTAATTTTTAAAAATTATTTTTAAGTAGTGGTACACAGGGGTTTCAATAGAACATGTTATTTTATTTATGAGTACCTTGATCAATGTCACCCTTCTATCATTCTCCCTCATCTCTCCCAACACCCTCTCATTCCCTCATGTTATCTGGCTCCATTTTCATATACGCATTAAATATGTGCATTAAATATTATGACTACATTCACCCATCCTTCCTCTTTCCATATATTTTAAAACACTGTTAAGAATTTAAGAACTATACTTTCTTTAAATGGTAATAACTGACTGCCCAAAAGAATATTAAGAAACTCTTCCTTTGAATTTGAGTATCTAAAGAACAAAACCGGACTTAGTGCCTTGTTATTCTCTGCGCTTTACTTAATAAAACCAGACTGAGTGAAATTACCAGTCTTTATTGGCTTCTAACTTTCCCTTAATGTGCTGTCCTGCACTTTCCTACAAGGAAAATTGCCAACCTATTTGATATTTGTTCATCTTCACAAATAATCATGTTACATATACCAGTAAAACTCCATGTCATTCTTTTCTTCAAATATTTTAGTAATAAAAGAATGCATGGATAATTATGTGTGAAAAAAATTGGTACTTTTGTGTGTAGGGGGGTGGGATTGTGGGGCTTGAACTCTGGGCCTGGGTGCTGTCCCTCAGTTCTTCAGCTAGAGGTGAGTGCTCTACCACTTGAACCACAGAGCCACTTCTGGTTTTCTGGTGGTTAATTGGAGATAAGAGTCTCAAGGACTTTCCTGACCAGGCTGGCTATGAACCATGATCCTCAGATCTCAGCCTCCTGAGTAGCTAGGATTATAGGTGTGAGCCACTGCTGCCCGGCTGCTACTTCCTCTTTTAATGGAGAGAAATATAAAGCCTGGCAAGAGTAGCTAAAATTGTGATAAATTTATCTATTTTTGATTTTCTTCCCTACCAAATTTTGGTTTAGAAACCTTTTCAAACCTTTTCCTTTTGTCTTTCTTCTCTCTTTTCCCTTTCTCTTTTCTTCTTTCCCTTCTCCTTCCCTTCTTCCTCCCTCCCTTCCTTTTGTCCCACTACTAGGGCTTGAACTCAGGGCTTCCAATACTTGCTTAGCTGAATTTTTCCCTCATGGGTAGTCCTCTACCATTTGAGTCACACCTCCCTTCTGGAGATAAGATTCTGGCAGCAGGAGCTTTAATGGAGAGCCTTAGATCTCTGCTTCCTGAGTAGCTGGGATTGCAGGCAGGAGCCAGTAGTGCCCAATGCCTTTGTCTTCCAAAGCTGCCAGTATACTAGTATGAACAACCTAGACCACCACAATGGGCTAAGTATCTTTACAGCTATTTTTCATTGTTATGAAAATGCAGATCATAAACTATATACTGATCATAAATACAGATCATAAACTCTTCTTTTGGAAGAGTTCTATGTACAGATCATAAACTATACACATACTAGAGAATGTCAGAGGATATATTAGAGAATACATTAAGAGGATTTCCCCTTCTTTCCTTTTCTTTCTTTCTCCCTCCTTTCTTTCCTTTTTTTTCCCCCCAGATGGGTGTCTTGTCTTGCCAACTTCCCTCCTACTTGCCAGGAACGAGACACACCCCTATGCTGGTTCTCTATTTCTAAATAAAACCATAACTACCTGTGTCAATGCTCACCAGTCCATCAGAACACCCCCAGAGCAGATAAAGTCAATTGATTACTTGGTGCAGTGAGATAGAACCCATCTTAGTCTCAGTGAGATGGTGTTACACAAGAACCTACATAGGATTTGGATTTTGATCATAAGAAGTGTAGAGTCATTCTACAGGATGTCATCAGCATAGTATCATCACATGTAATTAGGTATGCCAATGAGAGCATATTCTTCACTTCTCATGTAGCTATTCACTTCTCATGTTGACCAAGAGAAAGGATATTGAGATTTTTCTAAATAGCAATAACTCTGTTTTTGTCTGTATTGAGATATTATGCAATATACCCTTAGTTTAGTGCAAACTCAGGGAGAGCTAATCTGTGTCCCCTTCCCTCTGAGAGGATTTGACCGTGGTCTACCTGAGTGGGATTGAGTAGGAGTGGAAGGCCAGCTCTCAATGTCAATGGTTGGCTCTTGTTTCTTGTTTCTGTTTTCTTTCTTTCCCACTAAAAATCCATTACAAGATTAGACTTCAAAGAACTCCAGGGCTAAGAATGTGGCTTAGTGGTAGAGTGCTTGCCTTGCATGCATGAAGCCCTGGGTTCGATTCCTCAATACTACATACACAAAAAAAGCCGGAAGTGGTGCTGTGGATCAAGTGGAAGAGTGGTTAGCCTTGAACAAAAGAGCTCAAGGACAGTGCCCAGGCCCAGAGCTCAAGCCCCAGGACTGACATACTTGCATACATACATACATACACACATCAATCAATCAATCAATCAATCAATCAATTGAAAAAAACTCCAGATGCTCACTATTTAAATCTAAGAACAAAAGTGCTGAATTTAAGTAAATGTCACCAGTAACTACAAAATATTAATCCATTCATTTTGCTCAACAAAGCAGAGATGTTTTCATTTTTTCCAGTGTAATTTTGTTTAAAGGCTGTCTCAATATCTTTGAATTACTGGTTCAATGATATATTTGAACCGTACCATGAAGAAATTTTGGAAACTTTAACTGATTATTTACTTTAAAAAAGTGATTTTGAATTATTTTGACTATCTGACATTATACACACGTTATACATCTCCACACTTGTTTACAATATATTCAGATCCGTCTCATCCTATCACTGTCCCTCTCCCCCTCCCCAAACAATTTCAACAGATTTTATGTTGTATTTCTTTTCAATTATTTAGTTAAAGCTCTCGAACTACCTTCCCAGTTTACAAATCTGAAAAACAGAAAAGTTTACTTTGGTGATATTGGTAGTTCATCTGAAAACAAGTATTATCCAGAGAGGTCTATTTACTCACCATCTGGGAATCTGGAGAGAGAGCAATTTTCAATTTTGTGCCATCTTCTCTAATCTCATTCATCGTTTCAATAAGTATGTAAGTTTGTGCCAAGTTCTAAACAAAAGTAACATAAAATTCAGATTCGCTTATCTTGTGCCTCTGATCTTAGGAAGCTAATACTCTGACAGAATTTCATCTAGCCTCGCCCAAAAAAGGGCATTTAAAACATTTAAATTTTAATTAATTTAATTAATATAAATTAAGTACACAGGCTAAAATCACTACCAGTGATGTTAAAATAGAGGACCTTTCGGAAGCACAGCATGATGCAAAGGGATACTAAAAGAAACTAAAAAGAAAACAGGAAAAGAACACTAAAAGAACAAATATCCAGGAATCATCTGGTGGTCCACATGTATGCCATGTATACCCATATAAATTAATTAGATGATTATTTATCTTTTATAAAGTTTTTTGATGACTTTTACCTGGATGACTGCATTAAAAAAGCAGGTATTCCCTAAATTTGTAATTCCTTTCACCGAGGACACACTGATGGCTTGCCTTCCCTTCTTTATTTCTCCCGTTTCATATTTTTCTTCACAAAGCTTTAGGATTCGAGCAAATGCATCTACAAGTTAAAGAAAATGTCACTGACATGAGATATGAAATTAAACGTCATTTGATAATTTAACTATATTATTTAAAAGTAAGTAAGATTGTCTCTTCAAATGAGTGTTCCTGAAAGACAAAAATACAATGCAAGCCTGGTGCCAGTGGCTCATGCCTGTAATTCTAGCTACTCAGGAGGCTGGATCTGAGAACTGAAGTTCAAATCCAGCCCAGGCAGGAAAGTCCGTGAGACTCTTATCTCCAATGAACCACTAGAAAAAAGTGGTGCTATGGCTCAACTGGTAAAGTGCTCACCTTGAGCTGAAGAGCTGAGGGACAGCACCCAAGCCCACAGTTCAGGCCTCACAACTGACAAAAAAACCCCAAAAAACAATGCAAATGTCTTTGGTTATATATTTTATTGCTATTACAGCTAATATAAACTCATTTAAGTATAAAAGAGCTATATGTCACATAATATTCTAGGTAAATTCTAGTTAATTATAAAGGAAAATAATTGAAAAACAAGTAGGAAAGACCTAGTTTCTAAATAGCATTTCCTATTAAGATGAGGATTCCTTAAAGAAAAGGCTGATTCTAAGCCTAGAGAAGCAAAGATGAAAAAGCAACTTAGTAAGCCGGGTACTGGTGGCTCACGCCTGTAATCCTAGCTACTCAGGAGGCTGAGATCTGAGGATCGCGGTTCAAAGCCAGCCCGGGCAGGAGAGACCGTGAGACTCCTATCTCCAATAAACCACCAGAAAACCAGAAGTGGCGCTGTAGCTCAAGTGGTAGAGTACTCGCCTTGAGCTAAGAGCTGAGGGACAGCACCCAAGCCCACAGTTCAGGCCTCACAACTGACAAAAAAACCCCAAAAAACAATGCAAATGTCTTTGGTTATATATTTTATTGCTATTACAGCTAATATAAACTCATTTAAGTATAAAAGAGCTATATGTCACATAATATTCTAGGTAAATTCTAGTTAATTATAAAGGAAAATAATTGAAAAACAAGTAGGAAAGACCTAGTTCTAAATAGCATTTCCTATTAAGATGAGGATTCCTTAAAGAAAAGGCTGATTCTAAGCCTAGAGAAGCAAAGATGAAAAAGCAACTTAGTAAGCCGGGTACTGGTGGCTCACGCCTGTAATCCTAGCTACTCAGGAGGCTGAGATCTGATGATCACAGTTCGAAGCCAGCCCAGGTAGGAAAGTCTGTGAAACTGTTATCTCCAAATTAACCGCCAAAAAGTCAGAAGTGAAGCTGTTGCTCAAGTGGTAGAGTGACAGCCAGACTTGAGCAAAAATATTAAGGGACAGTGCCCAGGACTTAAGTTGAAGCCCCAGCACTGACATACATATATACATACATACATACATACACACATACATACATAGATACATAGTTCTGGTTTCCAATGGAGCCAGACTAATATCTTATCTATTCTGTTGCTTCAAAGTGGTCTGACCCAGTACCTGTGGCTTTTGCAAGGAGGAAGGGGCCTCCCCCCTCCCCCCATACATATTAGGCCCCATTATCATTCAAATGGAAATAATAGGCTTTCTCTGAGGTTTCATAAAGATTAAATAGGCTAAAAATTGAGAGTACAAAGCATAGGAAGCATCATTTAAATGTTTGAAAAAACAGCTCTGATAGCCCCATCAAAAGAGATATTTGTGCCAAAATTCCTACCTTCATGAGCCATCTTTAGTAATACATCACCTTGTCTGCTCTCATATTTTTTCTTCTGTTTATTCTTGTACATTCTGGGCATTTTTTTTTGATTAGTTTGCCTTTCATACTGATTTGTAGTTTTCATGTCTCAGCTTTTTTTCCCATCCCTCCCTCCTTCCTTTCTTCCTTCTTCCCTCCCTTCCCACTTCCTTCATTCCTTCCATTTTTTTTTTTCTTTATGGGACTGGAGACTGAACTCAAAAGTCTCACACATGCTAGGCAACTGTTTTACCACTGAGCTCCACTCACCTCAGCTGGGTTTTTCTTTTAAAATGTGGAAATGGGCTGGGAAA